AGGATGTCTAGTTAGACTGTTAAATGCTTAGGCATGCTTATGAGTTTCTACAGGGTACATCTGGTCAAAAATAACTAAAGAGAAAAGTTGATGACTGTCAGCAGACAGGGTGTTTAATATTATTATTATGACGTGTATAACTGTAGCCTTAGCCATAATATGTTCTTATGTTTAAGTCACGACATGCTCTAGAAGTCTGTGAGAATGTTTTTAGCTACACACCACTTAATCAACAGACACACACACGCACATTGATTTGCTTCATGTTTTGACTACTGCTATGGCCAGCTGCAAAGCTGGCAACAGAGACGTCTCGGTTGACATTTCTACACACACACATTGATCCCCAACCGAGGGGATATAATGTATAGGCCTGGTGGGTTCAGGGTCTTTCATCTTACATCTGCCTGCGAGCAGTTTGGAGGTGCAAGATACCTGAACGTGTAATGTTGATGTTACCTGTGATCCTTTGAATAAATCAGCACTGTTTTGAAGTTATTTGGACTGTCTCGTCTCTCAGAGTTAGCAATGGTAGCAAGAACCAAAGACCTACAGTTGTTAGTTTGAACTATACAGCTTTGTGTAGGCTGCTGACTACACTAATTTTCCTGTGGTTTCGTCAAGAGCTATCATCAACCAAGCTATGCCAACATAAACAACAAACACCACTATCTGGTTAGATAATTTTACTGTAACAGGATTTGAGGGGTCTTTTTTTTCCCGAGAACATGTTTGAATCTCAGCTGGGCTGATCCAGCTCACACCTTTGTCATCTTATCGGCATCTTGCAACTGCTGAATCTAACTACTTCTTCAACTGTTGTGCACAGACCTTCATTTTTAACATCTCAAGTGTGAGATTTTGCTATATGTCAATATCCCTGACCTCTCTCTCTCTATGCAGCTGCGTACCCTCACATGATTAGTTTAATGCGGCCCATGGTTTGTCTGCTGTAGCTGAACATCACGGTTAGCGGAGATTACGTGAACTTAGCTATGCGACACAGCTAACAAGCTAGACAGATAGCACGCTAATGGCATCCAAAGACTAGATGGGACCAACGGCTGTCAAACGCTAATGTTGGCTAGGGGTTCGCAGCTAAGCCGATGAGCAAACGTTATCCATTAGGAGATTTAAGAATTTACCATACACATCTAAGCCGCTACAGTATTCGACTGTCAACAACAAAATTAGCTTTACGTGACTTACTGTCGCCCCAAGACACTGAATCTGCTGTAGCGGCTAATGTTATTTAGCTCAACAGCTAACTAGCTGAGTGGTCCACTTACCTAGCGAGAATTACAGATAGATCCGAGCGGTTCTGCGTGTGTTTCCTCTCATTTATCCTCTCCCACACCTTTTCACAGCTTTGGGCGAGGTCGCATCCTGCTAAAGTCAACAAACAAATCCAAAACATAAGCTGCTCTATGTATTTGCATAGTGGTTCTCCAGCCAGAGGTTTCAGAAGAGTTCTCATATGCTGCTTTCACGGAATGTCGGCAGAATGGGGAGGATGGGAATAGTACCCACTGTAGTATTTAGTATTTACTGTAGTCATGGTACTACCACGCTGCGGAGTCTCCGTGTTTCATTAATTTTTTAAACATAGATTTAATGGGCACATACTAGAGGTGGTCCCTTCAAACGATAGAAGACGGATTAGTTGTGGTTAAGCAAAACGATTCATTTTTTTCATTGTCTGTAATCTTTATGGTTACAATTCTCCTCCAGCTGTTTTGCCAGATTACGTCTAAATTTAAAGAGCTCATATGGGCCTAAAAACAAACTCTTACATTTCCATGCAGATTCTCTGTCATCCAGGTCATAATAAGCTTCAGCAGTTCATGAAGCCTCTTAGATGAGAGTCTTCGACCTAAAACCAAGTCCAGTTGATTTATTTCTACGTTTTTCAGCAAACTCTTACATGCATTTATGTGGTGCACTGATGATGCACTGGATAGACTTCCTCTACAACTTTGTCAAGGCTTTCAAAGAAATAATCTTGTCCTAAAACTAGGTTTCGATCTCTCTCTGATTGATACCTATCGCATTTAAACCCCGACAGTCAAGAATTTACTCGCTCAAATCGGAATTTATTCTCTAGATCCAGAATCGATCTCTTTTTAATTTCAACATGAGCGCTTCATTTGCTCATTTGTCAGATCGTAAGCAAATTATTCTAGGAGCTGCGCAGGATACTGTAAAACTATGAAGCTAGTGGAAAATCTGCATCTCCTTTGGGACGATCACTTTAATAACAGTGTTAAAAAGTTAGTCAAAGGAAATTTTAATGATCTTACAAGAATACAAAATAGGATGGGAATACTTTAACTATAAGATATTTGGCTGTTAAAATATGCAGTTAAAACCCCTTAAAAGTAAAACAATCTAACTTGTTAACCAGCTGTTCTCAACAGAGAAGCAGTGGCTTAAGCTATGTAAGTCAAATCATTGTATTTATTCAAGTAGCTAGATTGTCTTGACTGTCATTCCTATTCAAAAGGTGGCGGTAAGTCACCCGACGTTTCTTGCAAATTGCCAGAAAAAAAAGAAGAAGAAGAGGCACGAAGAAGAAGAAGAGGGAAGAAGAAAAAAAAGCAAAAAGAGCCACTGTCAACACTGGGAGTTTTCATTGATAAAATGAGACATTGTGGATAAATGACATGTAAAGGTGGGACTCTAACTAAACGTACTATTCTGCGGAGCTATCATAGCAGCTAACTAAGGAACGTTTCAGTAAAGAAGCTTAGGAGTTAACGCGATACACTGACATTCATGGTTAATTTTATGTATACCTTATAGATAGCTATATTCTGAGTATCGCTTGTACCTTATTGCTAATTTTACCAGGTGAACGCTCCTTTGGCTAACCTTAACTAATGTGTAGTTTTAAGTTAGCCATTTAGCGAGGCTCAGAATAGCTAGATAAAGCGATAGCTACATCAGCTAACGTCAAAATGGCTAGCAGGAGTCACCACTAATTAATTAGGTCGTTAGGTCTACGTATTTAATACATTCGTACCAGACATTAGGCTCGTCTTCCTTTAAAGAAGCCGATCGTGTGCCTCTCAACGTGTAATTACTGGTATGTCTCAAGACACAAATCAAACCCCACAAACTTGCTACCATAGTGCAGCTTAGCATTAGCTGCAGTTAGCATCAGTCCGATAAGCCCTTTGCAGGAGCCGGTTTTTTAAACATCAAATAGAGCCGCGCAAACAATGGGAACAATTATATATAACTGTAACAATATGTCGCGGGCCATCTGGTGTTTGTCCTAGCGTTATAGAATGGCACACTGTCCTACATTTGACATGCTAACTTAAGTATTTCATTAAGGCTAATTTAACACTGTGGGGCAGGGTTGTTTTTACCACTTTTGTTCACACCTTGTTGAAATTATAAACATTTTAAGTGAAACTATTCTAAACAGTCACGCGTATTCTTTTGAGGGCAGGCTATTTTTGTACTATTCAATGCAAGGGATGGCTTCTACAAGTGGTGGCAAACACCCAGTTTAAGGAGTGTTTGATAAAGTATTAATATTGTGACAGTAAAGAATTGCATAATTGTTTTAGCAGTTTCCTGGTTCCATGCTTGTCCACAAACTGTATGGCCCTGACCAAAGACATTAATATATTAATTTTAGTTGAATGGCAAATGATTTGTAAAGTAACTGCATTTAGGAATAGTCTGCTCCCTCCCAGTCAAACACAAATGTTCAGATCAACACTGTAACGCATATAAGCACCTGAACTATAGAGAGCTGAAGTGAAACCGAAGCTTCCAGGGAGTGTTGTGGAAAAAAGAAAACATCATTCAAAATCCCATCGAGATTTCTAATCTAGCTAATAGAGAATGTGAAGTTCTCATCACACCATGTTGAATTTTGGGTAAATGCATCATTTTGGTGGGATTACACTTGTTATCCATAATATAAGTTCATTTAAAAAAATATTATTGGATGTAGCTGAAGTATCTGCTATTGTATGTAGCAGATACTTCAGCTACATCCAAATGCCCACTTTATTGTTCAGTTTGAGCACAGACAGGACAGAAATTGATTCCTCTGCAGTGTTTGTGTCATCTGCCGACAGCTGTTAACTAGTGTTAGCTCCCAAAAGAAGAGGTGAGATCAGGGTGCAGTGTCATTTTTCAGTCTGATCTCATAGACGGGATCTCTAGGTCTGCTACGAGTTATCTGTAGTCAGCTAAGGTTATCCATTCTGAATTACCACACTCAGTAAAGCGAGATCTAAACGATTTAAGCAACTTTTTTTTGCCAAACCAAACAATGTGTGCAGGTAAATACAGAAACCGTCTCCCAAACTGGTGCCCCTGTCCCAACAGCCAACACTGTGATGCACCTTCACATTCTCATTCACATTCTATAGCTAAACATCAAGCCTTGGAACACAGCTGTTTTCAACAGTATGCTATGTTATGAGTTTTGCTGCATTTGCTTACACTATCATGATATGTTTGTAAAACAACGTGTTATTGAGATTAACACAATCTTTGATTTTCCTGGCCTTTAATAAACACTAGGCCCATTGTGGTTGAAATGTCATCAAGCTGATTGAGGCTGTTTGACTGGTGGAATAATTGAACTGTGGGGCCAAGCCCAGATATGGCTGTAACTATTGTACATCATCTTACATTTTCTAAAAACAGCACAACAAGTTTTGAAAGAGGTGAAGATCACTTAGTTTTCTTGCAATGACCAATGTGGAAAAAATGCAAAATGAGAGACTACGTTGAGTCGCTGAAACTATTGAAACGGAGGCTAACTGGAGGTGACATCGTGACCTGGGCTCCATGTATATTCACACTTGACGCAGGTTGACTGTTTATGGGACTGTGTTATTCACATTGGTCACGTTGAAAATCTGTAAAGCCTTTCGGTTTCTTTAGACCTGATTTAATTCAGTTTTTCTCCCCAAATATATGCGGTAATCAGCAAAATATAACATTTTGATTTTTAAACCAACTGTTAACTAAGTGATATTTATTGTTTTTTGCTAAAATTAAATGAAGTATTGAAATATACTGTAATGATTAAATAGTAGTTGACATCAGAGGTTTATCAAACACTCAGCCTCAGACACACTACTATGTAACAATCTGGCCATCGGTTACCCTGGATGTTTACATGTGACAACACCAGTCGCGCATTCTTCATTCATAACAGTAGTAGCATAACTGTCACATAGTCCTGCAGAAGGTAAAATTTATGATAAGAGGCCTCAAGCCTTTATTACCATATACAGTAATATAACTGTGATATTACGTGAACCATCATATTGTACATCTTATCACATATAAGTTACTGGAGGAGATAATGTGTGCATTGTGGCTGCAGCTATAAGTAGAGCTAGCTAGCTGCAATGTTAGCAGTTCATCATCACATCTCTGAAAACATCAAAGCAAATTTCTAAATTGGTATTCCTTGGATAGATTGGCCACATATTCAGAAACTAAATGGTAATTTTTTTTTTCACCTATGTGAGAAAAACTATCAAAACTTAATAAACTGGCATAATAACAGTCCTAGGATGAAAATTCTAACAGCTTTGAGCCTGCACTAACTCCACTGTGGGTAGTGTCCAGTGCTTCCATACTACAAAATTATGTAGGGCATCCAAAAACTACTTGTGTACATATTTTGCCATACTAAGAATTTGGACATACTACTTGTCTCACATAGACATTTTAGCCTACTACGCAGAAGGCAAGTAGGCAAGTTCGGGCACACCCTTAGACTGCTTGTGAAGTTTTATAGCTGACTTTGACGCTGTCAGATGAAAAACTTGATCTGTGCCATATATGCTGTTATCAAGAAAAGAGTGAACAGCCCATTCTGAGAAACACCATTGTTAGGTTTTGTTGTGCAGCCTTTCCTTCAATATCCAATCGAACTGATTGTTGAATGAAGAGGTTTCCCTTTTATCTTCGGAACATGCAAAAGTAGAAAGTTGTTACTTGCCATAGCTAACTGAGCTTTAGAACATGTCTTAGTAAATGTTAGGTCTTTTTCTTTTGGACAAATTTGGTTCCAAATGTCAAGCTGTGACATGAAATAACTCTTATTTCCCCCCTAACAGATACTGCCACCTTTGCTATTGTGGAGCAGAGAGAATAATCAGGAAAAGGAGATGGAAAGGATTACTGCTCTCCACTTGTCATTGGACACTGCGTTTATACTCTCAGAAAGAGACTGAGTGGAAGTGAAAGGTAACCTCTGGTGAACAAGAGAGACAAAGAGAACATCCAAAGCTACAAACTGTACTTTATAAAGCAAAGGAAATGGCTTTCTTGGACAATCCAGCTATTATTCTGGCACACATCAGGCAGTCTCATGTGACCAGTGATGACACAGGAATGTGTGAGATGGTACTAATAGACCAGGATGTGGATCTGGAGAAGTGCCAGCTGGCTCTGGTGCCCGGCAGCAGCAGCTGTGGGTCAACAGGCTCCCTGAGTGAAGGGGGCAGCAGTGTGACAGACGGTCATGCCTGTGACCTCTCCCAGTCCATGGACATCACTTCTAGTTGGGACTTTGGCATCCGACGCCGTTCCAACACAGGTAGGCTCATCTGCAGGCCACTGCTGTTTAGCAGGGCAGGGTTTCTGTATTTTTCTCTCATTATGGTGGGTGCAGGCAGAACGCCTGATTTGCTGTTGTTTTGACTGGGTTTAATCAGGGTCAGTAGGTTAGTGAGGTTCAAGTCAATCATGTGTGAGCTATTGAAGACCGTTGCCACACAAGTGGAAAGGTTGGGGTTAGATTGTACTTGCTGTGTACTGTACTTATTGTATTTACTGTGTGAATCTAATTATTATGAACTGAATATACTGTATGTCGGGCTATGATAAAAGAGTGGGATTTTTATATTTTAGGCAGCTACAATAGCTAAACACACTGCATGCACTCTCAATGCGGACACGCAGTAGTCTATCCCACTAGGCTGCATGATACAGTGAATTTGTGGACTCCCAAGGTGTGTTTTTGATTAGTTCTTGTAAAGTGAGGGACGTAATGTCAGCTCACATATCATTAAAAACAACATTTAAGATATTATCATAGACGATATACAGTATATTGCACACCCCCAGTTCAGTTTTTGTTCAAGCTGTTTTAAAGAGGTGTATATAATCATTTTGGACCCTGCGGTTGTTAGACTGCATTATGCGGAGAGGCATTTGTGTTATTTGGCCTGGACTCATTGATATACACTGACCAGCCACAACATTAAACCGCTTGCCTAATTTTGTGTAGGTCCCCCTTGAGTTGCCAGCAGCTCTTACCCATTCAGATATGGACTCTATAAAACCCCTGAAGGTTTCCTCTGAGGTCGGACATCAAGACATTAGCAGCAGATCCTTTAAATCCTGTAAATTGCAAGGTGGGGCCTTCATAGATCGGCTCTGTTGTTCCAGCAAATCCCACATATGCTCCATCAGATTGAAATCTAGGGGAATTTGGAGACGAGGAAACACCTTGAACCCTTTGTCCTGTTCCTCCTGCATTATCCTGCTAAAAGAGGCCATGAAGGGGTGTCAAAGTAACATCCAGATGAATGCGAAGAAACACAGTTTCCCAACAGAACATTGCCCAGAGCGTCACACAGCTTCTGCTGTCTTGCTTTCCAGCTACCCATAGTGCTTTTTGGAGCCATTTCTTCCCCAGGTAAACGATGCAAACTAGCAGTCGACCGATATAGGTTTTTCAATGGGCAGTGCCAGTGCTGATCTCCCTTGATTTTTGTGCTAAGTTTGGTGGAGTGCTAGTTATGGTTGTGGGTATAAAGCTACAGCCATCTAGACTTTGACACCTGAGGTTGAGAACTGATCTGTGGTGGCTGTCTCATCAGAACTCCAGCAAGATAGCCGCAACAAACCTGGTAAAATATAGTAAGAGGGATGAACAAAAAATATTTTAGATTAAGTATGCAAGTTTTATTTGATGTTCTTCTTGGTGTGTGCGCTGCATATACAGTATGTGTGTGACTGTCTTTGTAGAGTGACTTCATGCCAGTCAATGTATAACGTGGTAGAGGATCATGGGGTCTTCCTGAAAACAGTTGTCCTTTTAGTCTCATTGCTCTCACATGCCCAGTGAAACAACATCATTACATAATGATACATTTTTCTGTTTCACTAGGTTTTCAGCAACTTTGACTTGATTAAAATACTGGTTTGCAAATTTAAAAGTTGTTTCTTTTCAGCCCAAAGACTGGAAAGACTAAGGAAGGAACGACAGAACCAAATCAAATGTAAAAACATCCAGTGGAAAGAGAGGACATCCTCCCAATCCGGTAACTTTTCTTTCACGTACCATTTTTAAATACATATGTATATTAAAATATATAATGTATAAAAGTTGCAAATTTTGTAACAAAAAACCTATTCACTTTTCAAGTGTTTTTTTGTCATATGGACAGTTAGGAAACGTGTTTCCCTGTACAATGACATTCTTTGCCGTCCACATGAATGCCACAAAATACAAATGAAATATTAAGTAGATAATCGATAGCAGTAATAGACTCTTCTGAGAATGAACACCTATTCCAGAGTGGACAAGCATGTGATCGATATGTGTACATAATAAAGGAACATAATAGTTTTACAGTGTGGACAAGTAAGATGACTGTGTGACCACTGATGGAGTGCAGTCTGCAGGTCATTCCACACATTTGCAGTAGGTTTCAAGTCTGGCCTCTGACGAGGACATTCGCCTTTTTCTCCTTCAGCCACCATGTGGTTGTGTTGAAAGGTGAACCTTCTTTTCATCTTCAGCATTATGGCAGAGGACAGCAGGTTTCCCTCAAGAATCAGATAGTACTTTGCTCCATCCATTTTCCCTTCTGTCTTAATAAGTGCCCCAGTTCTTGCTGAAGAGAAACACAACAGGATGCTACCACCTCCATGCTTTACTGTAGGTACAGTATGGTGCTCTTTGGATGGAGACTTGTATTGCCTTTCTGCCAGATGTACTGTTTGTCACTGAGGCCAATGAATTCAATTTTGGTCTTGGCTGACCATATCACCTTGTTCCATTTGGCCTCAGAATTTTCCATTTGCTCTTTGGCAAAGCTCAAATGAGCTTAATGGGTCCTTTCCTGAGGAGTGTTTTTATTTTTTTATTTTTTTATTACAACCCTGCTATACAAGCCTCACTCGTGATGTTGTTGTCACATGCACAAAATGACCACTCTTTGCCATGAAGTCTTGTAACTTCTTCAAAGCTGGCATTGGCTTCTTGTTAGCCTCTCTGACCAGCTTTCTCATCCCTGCCATCCAGTTTGGAGTAACGGCCTGACCCATCCCACCAGAAGCCATGTTAAATTAGTTAAGATTAGTTAAACTTAGTTGAAACTCAGTGCTGAGGAGAAAACACATGGTGTCAAAATTGTACTGGGCAAAGGGGCAGCAGGCGGAATCACACAGTCCAAAACAAACAGACATTCTGCTTCAGAATGGAAATTTCAAAGGAGAATATACTGGCTGTAGCGTTGTTGTTGGAGAAGCCAGTATTTCAGTTTATCATGTGTCTTTAATCTCTGATGATATGTCACGGTCATTTTATGATTTAATACAATGAATACATTACGTATTGTTCCTTCAAGAAGCAAAATGAAAGTACAGATATTGTTATCAGTGTACTTGAAAATAAAATATTTGCTGCATGTTGTTTTTGCTCTTATGTTTTATGTCTAGTTGAGGATCTGGGGTCTTTGTTTGAAAAGCGGGACTTTAAAGACAGGCTGCGGACAACAGGTACCAAATCCACCCTTTCACTGCGGCTGGAGCAGTGTCCCCAGCAGCTTAACAACCCATTCAATGAATACTCCAAATTTGATGGCAAAGTGAGTTATTTCACATTTTAATCCTGTTTATGTGTATTCTTCATTAAAAATGATTCTTAAAAAAATATGTATCATTCTGTAACAAAGCATAACTGTTGATCGTTTTGCAGAGAAGGGAAAAATGAGCACATTGATTTTCTGTTTGACTAAATTAATCCAGTGCATCAAACCTTTTGTCTACTAGGAAATCACAGGAGTTTGTTTTGAATACAAAAACACTTACTGTGCTTTGAAGATTTCAGTCAGTTTTTACCTTACTCAGAAGGTGGGAGTTATGCTTTTGCTGGCTCTGGTTTGTTGGTTTGTCCAAGGTAACTTTATTTGTCCCCAAGGGGAAGTTTGCTGTACAGCCAGTAGCACACACACACATTCATTGTCACATCACAATCATATCATCATATAAATCATAAAGACACAAAAAACAAATAAAAAGACTATCACCTTTCCTGAATGAATGCCAATCATGATAACTTATATTGTCACGAAGCATTATTTAAAAAGCCAATGGCAGTTGGGATGACAGAGTTCCTGAATCAGTTCGTTCTGCATCTTGGTAGGTTATATCCGCATCCAGAAAGGAGCAACCTAAATTTAGTGTGCAGAAGATGGCTGCTTTATACAGCTGGTGAAGGTCATTCCTTTAATTTTACTGTAAGCCTTGACAATACCCTGTAACCTGTTCCAATTTTTAAGTGACAAATGGCCATACCAATGAGAAAGTGAAAACAAATTCAATAAAACCTGAGTAAAACATACCATAAAGGTGTCCAAATCAAACCTATTAAGTTTATGAAAAAAATACATCCCCTGATTAACAAATAAAATACACCTGCAACTCAAAGGAGAGGATGTTATCAACAATTGAACCCATGTATTTATACTGGTTCACCACCTCAGCATTCTGACTGTCAATGATGAAGAGGAAGATGACCAATTTACTACTTTTTTAAAATCATATGTAGTCTTTCAGTGTTTCCCGTACAGTGATTTGTTTGGGGTGGGCTGCCACAATATCACCTTTGACCACCAAATATTGATTTAAAATAGGGTCAATCTTAAGTCACTGTAGTGCTGTTGCGTAGCACATGTATTCGCTGTCACTCCGTGCCCTGCTCTGTTTCTCTCTCTCTCTCTCTCTCTCTCACACACAAACACTTGACAACTAAGACAACGGACTTTCTCTGACCAGCTCCTTCACTTTTACACACTTCGTTTGTTGATCTAACTTTAAATTTAAAGTTGCCATTTTGCCCATAACTCTGCACTCAACACTCTACACCCATAATAAGGGTGTAAGGATGAAGACCCCCTGAGTAAAGTTTTAGGTAGCCTTTGCTGTCATTTTTTTTTTTTTTATCCTGGTACTGTGAAGTCAGGATTTTTCTGTGAATGATGTACTCACTGTCTCTTCACTTTTTAGGGTCACATTGGCACAACAGCCACAAAAAAAATCGACGTCTACCTTTCAATGCAGATGGCTCAGGAAAAAGTACATCCGATGACAGTGGTGACCATTGCTAATGCCCGCGTCCATGACCTTATCGGGCTCATCTGTTGGCAGTACACAAGTGAAGGAAGAGAACCCAAACTGAAGTGAGTATAAACATAGTGTATGCTGACATCATATTTTCAGAAAGTCAGCTTGTGTAAAACACACTTTTCATCTGTTTCTCAGTGTAATCATTTGTCACATCTCTCCACAGCGATAATGTGAATGCATATTGTCTCCACATTGCGGAGGATGATGGTGAGGTGGACACTGACTTCCCTCCACTTGACTCCAATGAGCCAATCCACAAGTTTGGTTTCAGCACTCTGGCCTTGGTGGAGAAATACTCTTCACCTGGCCTCACTTCCAGGCAGTCTCTTTTTGTCAGAATGTGAGTAAGAATTATAGATAAACATGTTCATACACTATTAGTTTGGACACGTTTCCCCATTAAATTGAATGGAATTTTGTTTAAACTTTTAATTGGTAGTGTAGGCTACAACAAAAAACAAGGATAAATATGTGAATAATGTGATTATCCTAAGTTTTTTCACCCAAGCTTTAGGCAACATGCAACTGCATGCTGCAAACCATCTGCACTCTGACCCACTGTATGCTGTCTGCATATATTCAGAGTGTAAAGATTAACAGATATTATGGGTGAACCAAACAATATTTGTCTTGTACTGAAATATTCTGTAGTGTTTCCAAACAACAAAATACTCCTTTGGTACCTACTAAAATGTGTCTGTAGCACTGGGTATCATAAACTGTCAAAGTAGTAAAATTAGCATGTCTGGTCAGATTCATGTTCTTGTTTACTTATTCTTTGATCATATAGTTTCTTTTCGTTGAAAGTCCTGTAGAAAGTCCTGTAGACTTGTTAGGGCCTGGATAGCTTGCCATCATGGAGGGGAAAATACATTTCATGTATATCAAGGAATCCTACAGGATAATGTCAGGGTGGCCGTCTGTCAGCTGAGGTTCAGTAGGAGTTGGGTGATGCAGCAGGACAGTGACCCTAAACGCCTAAATCTATTACAGAATGGCTTCAGAACTAGAAAATTTGCCAATTGGAGTGTCCCAGTCATTGTATTTTTTTCTAACGAGCCATGAATTAAAATGCATAGTGTTGTGTGGCAGCAACTACTCATTTACATACTTTGAGCACATTTTTCTAATTTCTTTGTCTATTACTTTGTAATATTACTCCCAGCTCATCTACATTGTAGTAACATACTTTGTGGTTATGATACTTAACATTGTTTTTATGTTTTTCATGTTATACTACTGTTGGGTTGGTAATTTCCTTTACATTACAATTTTCTGTAACATCTATATGTATTCCATGCAACAACTTGGTTATGTGCCAAGAATAGCGGAGAATCTGAGACACTTGCTTACAACCCAGTGTATGCATATTTTACACATGACCTTTCTCCTACATTGTGTAATGAGCCATTGTAGTGGGTAAAATCAATGCACAGGGAAAATTACTGCAGTTCCAAAAACTACTATATACTGTTTGTTTTAACCACTACACCATACAGCCAGAAAGTCTGCATTTTAACCTCTGTAAAAGGTGCTATATGATTTTAGAATACCTGTGAAAGGTAACTTGAATAGGCTAGATTCAGCATGCAGATGACAAGGCTTCAGCCACTGAAAGTACCACACGTAGAGCACAGTTGGAGGAGGACATAGAATAAGGGGAGAGGAATGTGAGAGAGTGTGTTTTTCATGTGTCTGTCAATGTAAATTTATTGCTGTTAATCTCACTCCAACTTGTAAAAGTAAACTGCCTGAAATGGGAACTATAGAGTCCTGGTCCTTCTCTCACAGTTCACCTAGATTGAGACACAGAATTCATGCTTTCAACCACTATACTATTATAGTGACTTTCAGTTTATGTGTCATGTCCAGGGGCTTTCTAGATAACAGGGACAAATAAGCAGTAGGGAGATTCTATTACTGCCGGTGTACTGCTGTGAAAATAGAGATACAGTATGTTAATTCAGGTGGACCTGAATAAGGCATTAGGATGAGCAGCCAAATGTCTTATGTTGTACTTTTTCAGGTCTAGTGGAGTGTTGTTTAGTACATTTCGTGGATGATTGAGATAAATCTACATAAGCATCCTTAACTTTGCCTTTTTTCTTTTCTATTTTAGAAATGCAGCTCATGGTTTCTCTCTAATCCCTGTGGACAGTCTGAAGGTAACCATGAAGGAAATTCTCCAGAAAGCACTCAAGAAAAGAAAAGGCTCACAGAAAGGCTCAGGTAGTGACACTTGAACACCCTGAACTCCTCTAAGTGTTAGTGTATTTTATAATCATTATCACTCTAGCTTCAATGAATGTGAGGACCGTGGCTAGTGGACACTTGAACAGAATTATGCTTTTGGGTGGAGCTCTGCAATAAGAATGAGAGCTGTCCCCTACTTATCTCCTAAACCTTGGTTAAGAAAAGCAAAGGTGTTGTCATCATTCAACAGGGCCCATGTATCGTCTGGAGAAGCAGACAGAGCCGAACGTTGCAGTAGACCTGGACTCGACACTGGAGAGCCAGAACACCATGGAGTTTTGCCTGGTCAGAGAAAACAGTAAGTGATCCCAGTAGGTCAAGTTGCACTTCTGCAATTGGCCTATCTTCTCAACTGCCTTAAACAGTTTATTAAGCTTCTCAAGCTTCACTTCACCTCTGAGAGCGGTTTTAGATGTAACTATTTGATTTTACATATTAGGAGAGTTTGGACTAAAAGAATATATTTTTGTCAAAACTGGCTGTCTTTTGCTGCATTTCCACTATCAGAACCTAATGAGTAGTATACCCTTAACCATCACCAAGCATAGTCTTCTGGGTTGACACGCACTGTCCTGCTTTGTTTTTCCACTGTATTTTCTCTGTCGGTCTCTGTTTAGAGGAAGGAGGGGCTGCTCCTCTCTCACACACCCAGTTTTCTGTGTGTTTTCACACGGTTCTTGTAGTGCTAATGTTTGAGGCATGAGGGCGCAGACATTTAACCAATTACCGGTGACTACTCTGCGCACATGCAACCCCCTCGTGTTCCTAGCACTTGATTTTAGTACTACCTCCTGAGGGATGCTAAAATTTAGCTCCAACAATGCACCTCCAAAGTGGGCATAGTGGAAACAAACAGAACCTATGACAAGCATTACTCGGGCAATACATTTCAGTACATCCCTATAATGGAAAAACCCCTATAGATGTAATGGATACATTTAAATTGATGACCTTTTATGCCCATGGAGTAATGTACATTTGTCAATTTTTGATGCAGCTAAGGAAGTTAGGTGCGCTTGATTTGATGCATACGATCTTCCTTGTTATACAAACATGACAATCAGTCACATAAAAATGAAATCACAATTTGCGAATCCAATTGTAATTATATGTTGATACAGTAACTTCTAAGGTTTTATTTACTTTTTTTTTATTGGTTTTCTTTATTATTTCCAGGCTCCAGGGGAGAGGAGAGCTCAGAGGAAGACCCTCCTATTGACCTCACCACAGTCCAAGACATGTTGAGCAGTCACCATTATAAGTCCTTCAAAATCAGTATGATCCACAAGTTGCGCTTCACCACAGATGTTCAGCTAGGTACATAACCCTTAGTACTTGTAATGTAATGTAGATAGACAGGTATATAGACTTTTATTGTCATTGTGTTACACCGAATACCTAGCAACTCCAAGGGAATCAATAAATTACAATAACTTAAGCTACAAATACATTTAAAAGTGCTAATTTACACAGGACAGCTCTGGCTGCTGAAGACACTGATCACTGAGAAGTTGCTGAGTGTTGAAATAACAACATAAAAGTGGAGCCAAACAAAATTTGACTGAAAAAAGTACAAAGAAAAAGAAGGCAAGAGCAGAAAAATGGGAGAAAAGTTAAAAGAAGAAATGAGGTACAAGTGAAGGAAGGAAAAAAGCAGGGTTTGTTCTTATGTAATGTAAAACATGCCAGATGTTCATGGCCATCCTGCAGAATATGCTACATTCTCATCATATGTAGATGTGGGATAAGCTGATAGTTTTTATCAGTGAAGATGTTTCACTCTGTTGGAGTTGTTGGAACTACAGAGAAACGCTCAGTTCACTCTTATTATTCAGTGGCGTTACAGAGTGATGCCTCCTTACCTCAAACGATCTTCAGCTAACAGCAGACAGCATGTTGTTTATTTATCCACCGGCTGCAGTGAGGTCACAAACCCAAAAACAGAGACTTTCATTTTGCCCTGTCATCAGTTGCTAAGTCACAGAGGTCATTAGCTGGTATGACCCCTGCTGGTTGCCATTTTAGCCAGAAACAGCAACGATTACCAGAACCTGCTACCTGAATGATTTGTGCACGCTGTGCTTTGCTAACAGGATTGTAGATGTCACTGGTACTGCTGTGTGGCAGGGAGGGGGTGGGGGGTTAAATCATGATGGCAGCTCACCATCATGATGCCTGTCTAGCTGTCTCTAATAAGGATGAAAGAAAGGAGGAATAAAAACACTACCGAGAAGGTCAGTCTATCTATTGTCAGTGTTAGAAGTATTAGTAGTAGTAGTCATAAATACTAGTAATGAGAAATAATAACAATAATAAAAAATATTTAAAAACTTCAGGTGCTATTTTACTTGTGCACCAATGAGAGATTACCATGTGTTTGAATATGTGTCCCATGTATATTCATGTACTGACCTGCAGTTTTCTCTTCAGGCATTTCAGGAGAGAAGGTCGAGATTGATCCTGTCACCAATCAGAAGGCCAGTACTAAGTTCTGGATTCGGCAGAAACCCATCTCTATCGACTCAGACCACCTTTGTGCCTGTGACCTTGTAGAGGAGAGAAGCCCCAGTAAGTGGACCACAGAAACACTGGCTTACTTTCCTCAGTTGTAAATGATTTTCACAGTAGAAACCATCTCCCTTATGCAGTCTTGTCTCAGGACACGTTTGCATGCATGCAAATTGTAATTATATGTTGCTACAGTAACTTCTAAGTTTTTATTTATTTATGCAGAAGATTGTATTAACTTTCTTTATTTGAGGCAGCACCTGGAGAAGTAAAATGTATGTGTGCAATGTTAATCCAACTTGCCAAATCTAACAGACATTTTACCTCATCCTATCAACAAGTTTGTCCTGTGAAGAATCAAATGACTTTTCCCTTTACATCATTTACACATTTTTTTTCTTATCCTGCTCACATCCGGCAGCCAGTCATCTTCAGCTCTGAGGAGATTTGACACTTCCATGCTTTATAGTTCACACAAAGAAATGCTCTCTGAGACAGATGGGTTGCTAGGCATGATCTGTGTATCATTGCTATTGTCCATTTCTGTCCTATTAAACCTGTTTTCCTCTGTCTTACAGGCCATGCAATATTTAAGCTCACTTATCTCAGCAGCCATGACTACAAGCCTCTCTACTTTGAGTCTGATGCTGCGACTGTGAATGAAATAGTGCTAAAGGTGAGTTTTGGCTGGAGAAGCATTGTTTTATTTTGAAGATTTAATCGTTTAGAATATAGTGGTCTGAAGATAAAAACTCAGAGGTCATAGTTCAGCCTTTTAGGAACTGTTCCACATTACCTATATGTAGTTTTTTTTCTCATTTGATTGTAATATGGTGATATTTACAAGATATAAGAAAGCACAGTAGAGATTAGAAAAAGATGATGAGACCAGTCTGTATAAATGTGGATATTTATCTCAGGAGTTGGTGGAGACCAAATCAGAGCTAAAAGAGGGAATATTAGTTTCATTCATCAGGTAGACAGAAAGAGCTCCAAATGAGTGCTACTGTTGTGTGTGAATGGTGTGTAACATATTCAACTTATCGGTGTTAAACAGAAAATACATCAGCCTTGTGTTAACAGCTTGTTCCACTGCCTGCATTTGGTTAAAAATAATTTACCATTGCTTTGCATACAAGTTATTATGAGTTTATTATATTATAAACCCAGAAGTTAGAAGTTTTTATGGGTCATGTGCATAGATTTATTGCTGAAGTCTGGATATGGCACTGCCACTCATTCAGCCAATTCTTCTCAGTGGCCACTTGTGCTGCTCCAGTGAAAAAAGGATTTTCTTTGTAGATCATAATGATAGAATATGTAAAACTGTTGACAGGACACCTTGAACTGCAAACGAAATCAGTTTTTAGTCTTTCTGTTGTATATTTTTAATCCATGGGGCAAGTTTTGTTTTACATTATCCCAATGTAAAGTCTATGGGCCACGCAGGAGCTCACAGGTGGGAAAACAGTAATGCACATGTGCAGTGGGCTGTGCAATGTGAAAGCAAACCCAAAAGAAAAACATTTTTTTAGGTTTGTGTGTGCCAGAGAAGTAACTTCAGTGAGGGAGAATAGGCACCATTATGTAATCCTGGGTCTAGGTATCAGCAAAGGATCCATGCTTATGTGCCAAGCAAGCACTTTTCATTCAAGTGACTGGGTGCCATCTTTATATCCAGGATCCAGTTATCCTTAATGCATTCATTGTCTAAAACATGGCAAAAAATGGCAGACATGATCTTTTTTATGGCAGAAACAGATGATGGAGAGCATGAAACGGCAGAAAACAGTGGCTGACTGAAGTCGGCTGAGGTTTGGGGGCACTCTATATTACCGAATAAAAAGAAGATTAAGTGTTTAGTATACAAATCTGATTTGTTATGGCACTGAAGCATGGAAGTAACGTTAACGTATGAGCAGTTGAAGAGAAAACCTGTTGGAGACAGAGACAAAGGGGATTCTGGAGCACACCAAGTCCACAGCACATTTTGAGGAGATGTAAGAAATTAACAAACTAAAGTTAGGAGTAAATTTTTTATACATAAAAACAATGGTAATGGTAGAGCAAATGATTTGCATTGAAGCCTTGTTCTCATTTTTTCAGTGCTTAGGAAGCATTTATCAAAAGCACAGAAGAAGACGTAGTCCTCACTCCAACTGGTTCCTGTGTATTTCTACTGTCACAAAATTTCAAACCTGTTTGTTGTCAACCATAAAAATAACATGCAGAATCTGTTTTATACACTAATGCACTGCTTGACACAGCTCACATTCAGCCGCTGATTAAATATTAAAGGATGTACTTATTCAAGTATTGAGTGGAAACATAGATCACAAGGAAATGTCAATAGATAATAATTTTATTGAATATGGTACAATAGGCCACACTGTTGTATGGTTGTGTCCATGTACATATATGACAATATACAGTATATGCAAGTACAGATATGTAGAGCATAGTATAAGGACAAATATTTATTGCTGTATTGTTGTATTCAAACTGTTTAAGTATCCATAACAAAAATGTTGGTGTAGTTGTTGATAGTTGATTAATAGACGATTTAAAATGTCATATCTGCTTACAACTGCATGGTGGTGGGATAGGGTTACCATCATGAAAACAGTTTTGATGATGTCTGTATCTATGGCTTGTTATCAGACACATGAACATTTAAAAATGTTTCATGAATACTTTTTTATTACCCCCCTGTTCATTTTCAGGTGAATTATATCTTGGAGTCCCGGACCAGCACCTCTAGGGCTGACTACTTTGCCCAGAAGCAGCGGAAACTGAACCGCCGGACCAGCTTCAGTTTCCAGAAAGAGAAGAAGGCCGGCCAGTAGACAGACTTGAGCTGTCTGTCAGTATATGCACCGACAGATGCATAAACGAGGACTGACTGTCTCATATACAGACAACTTCAGGCTAAACAGAAGTCAGAAATGACAAGGAAGTCCAGTCGGAGAAGATAAGAGCAGGAGAGCAATGGGCACAAGACGGACTAGGGAAATGGGTCTATGCTTCAGCTGAGCAAGGTAGACATCTCTGAAAGACCACGAGTAAAGAGTTGAGCAAAAACAGACTAATTACTTTTCTAATAAAGAAAAAGACTGAAGAACGTGGGAGTGTTTTGGCTGTCGTGTTGCAGTCAGTTTTTCTTTAGCTTATTCACTGCCTCTGTATTAAAGTTCTATCCTCCTGGATGGATTTATCCAGTGTCTATATGATGTTTGTGTGCGCGCAACAAATAAATCAAAGGCACTTGTTAAATGATTCTCTCTATATTGAAAAGAAAACAATATATTTAGATATTTTAATATCAAGAAATGAAATGATGATATAGACATTAAATAGCCCCGTCAGAAAACTTTTTGAAATTAGATTATTACCCTTCTGTCCTGAGTCCTGATTGCAAATCCTTAACATCATCTACACTCCATATTTTGGAATCTTTGCCATGACAATACACATTCCTGTCATAACTGATCACCACTTGGTGGCGGTATCTCACCAAAAAATGTGGCAGTGCTCCAGCAAAGGCACTGTAGCTCACTACTGTGAACAGTGCATGGTTGGAAAATCCATTTGTGACTGTTTCTTAAAACAGGAAATCCCTTTTAACAAATGTATCACACAACATTCACATCTACTGATACAAAGAGCCAAGCATTCTCTTGTCACTCATGAGCATGAACCTCACAAGTTAGTTTGCATGGAGTGCCGACTGGCCAGTTATTGTTGCATTGCCACCATATTGGCACACAAAAAGTTTGTTCTTTTGCTGAGTGTGATTTCATTAATCAGTTTTCTCAGTCCCAGTAACTTGTGCAAGTCATATCAGAGACTATTATCCATCATCCTAAGGTAAGAACTTATATTTATTACTTTTGTAACTTAAGGACAAGCGCCTCAGCCACCCACTGGTGTTGCAGAAAAATCTGCAGCTTACTTAGTTGATGTTTGTTGAGCGATGAAGTAGAATCAGCGTTATTTTGACTGTGGTGTTTTTACTTGTGCTTGAGCTGTAGCCAGTGTTGTAGTTGAGTCACTAAAGCTTGAGTCCGAGTCGATTCTGGAGTCCCCAGTGTATTGCATCACCATATTGCTTAGCAATTTGATACATAAAAAATAATTTATAGAAAGTCGGGGTGTACTCTTCAATCGAGCTGTCCCGGATACAGCCTGGCGTGGGTGAACAGGTTTTAATATCAGTATCTTATGTCAAATTGTTATGGCATATTACAAAAAAAGTCAGCATTCGAGTCTCCAACTTCCGAGTCCAAATGCAGTCAAAACTTGAGTCCAAGTCGAGTCGAGAGTCCTGAAAATTTGGACTTGAGTCAGATTTGAATCCAAGTCCTGGACTCGAGTACTACAACACTGGCTGCAGCACAGTCCCCCATGGAGGAGCAAATGCTGATTTCGCTTGCAGAAAAGAAAAAATGAATCAGGCCAGTGTTAGTTTGTTAGTGCAATTCCTTTAATATTAACTATCTTCCAATACTGACTCAGATTCAATACTTATATTTGCTTGACAGTAAATGTTCATTAAATATCTGACATTGACATTTAAAGTCATCTGACACACTTTTTTCAGGAGCTGTTTTCAAGATTTATCCCATTGCCATTACTGCTGTTTTATGGGGCCATGAGAGGACCAGGATGTCGATACCTACACACTCTGATAAGCAAGCAGGCAAACATTTATTTATATAGCACTTTTCTAAAAGACGGTTACAAAGTACTATATAAGAATCAAAAGAAAGCAAACACAAAACCATAAGCATACAACAAATAAGAATAGAAAAAAACAATCTGATAGCCAGGCAGTGGTCAACATCATCAACAAATCCAGGAGTGACTCTCATCATTATGCCATTTATTCAACAACTAACTTGGCTATCCATTGTTAGGTAATTTCTTAGTCAGTTAGATATTGATTAGATACTTGTTGTATAGGAATGTTTAAGTGTAGCCAGGATGTCTATCTCGGGCTGTTAAATGCTCAGTTCATTGTCATGAGTTCTGCAGGCTGCATCTAGGCCAAGGTCAACTAGATTGCAGAGTCTGCAGGCAGGATGAATATTGTTAGTAGCATGATATGTTCAGCCGTAATCTTAATCATAATATCTTCCGAGGCTTACTGTTCGGACATGTCCCTGAATGTCCTGTATGTTTTTAGCTACACACCACATGATCAACACTCACACACACATTGATTCTCTCCATGTTTTGACTACTGCTACGGCCAGCTGTGAAGCTGGCATATCAGGTGACGTCACGGTTGACGTTCCTGTGTA